GACCGGGGACCGGCAACGGGATCGCAACCCTCAGTGTTGCTCCCGCGCCTCGCTCAGCCAGTGAGCGGGAACCGGTCTGTATGTGGGATCCGAACCCTCGGGTGGGAGCGCCGCCGCGCTTCCCAAGCGGCGCACTTATCCAGTGCGCCACCGGGCCGGCCCCGGAATGGAAATTTCTTAAAAGGTGTTTTGCCTAGCATGTCTTAGAAAAGCTTACGTCTTAGTCCCAAATCTTTTTCTCCCTATTGTGCCACCATGCTTTTGGCCCTCTGTGTAGAGATTGTTTTGGTTGATGGTTTTATGAGTTAATTATCTTCCTAGGTCTTTCCCATCTTCTCAGTTCCTGTAACTATAGATACTGTAGATGTCCAAAACACTGTCTCACAGATTGTATAACTCATTGACAAGAAAGAAAATGAAACCAAAAAGTAGCTTTCTGAGTTTAGTATATTCCTTTACTGCCCATGCCTTATCTTTTCTAAATCAGGTACATTGTGAAATCTCTGAATAGCTTTCATCTATAATGGATAGCAAATGTAGGCCTTCTTTAGTCAAAATGTCTCCATAAAGATGACAATGTTTATTAACTGTGATTAGTTAACTCAGCTTTTTTTTTTTTTTTAAAGATGACTGGTAAGAGGATCTTAAAGCTTGGCTTGGTGTTGTCAGCACCACGCTCACCCAGTGAGCTAACCAGCCATCCCTATATAGGATCCGAACCCATGGCCTTGGTGTTATCAGCACCACACTCTCCTGAGTGATCCACGGGCCGGCCCTAACATAGCCTTTGAAGGTGAAACTAATGGTGTTACAGAGTTTTAAATGGGGTTTTTTTTCTAATATGTGTTGGTGTTAATTTCATTCACATATAGCTGTCCTATGTAATGGCATTTTAATTGAGAGACTTAATCTAACAAACCTTCTGGACATAGATTATTTTATTTTATTTATTTATTTATTTATTTTCCTTTTTTGTCTTTTTCGTGACCGGCAACGGGATCGCAACCCTCAGTGTCGCACTCACACCGCGCTCAACCAGTGAGCGGACCGGTCTCTATATGGGATCCGAACCCTCGGCGGGAGTGCCGCTGCACTCCCAAGCGCCGCACTTTACCGAGTGCGCCACCGGGCCGGCCCCATAGATTATTTTAAAATAAATCACTGTATCATATAAATAAAAGTATGTTTCTTTGGATATACTTAAGCTAATAAAGTAAAATGCTGGCTGGAGACATTCCTTCACACCAT